ATACATCGATCACTTGCTATAAAAGATATAGCCAAATAGTATTTATAGCAAGGGTATAGTTGTTTTTAATAATGAATAACTATGAATACTGACATGCTCTCGTAAATGTCAGCAGCAAAAATATCCAGAATTATAAAAGTTGCAGTTTCCCAGAGATATCAAACTGTTGGTGTCAACACTGTCAGTTTCCCAGAGATATCAAACTGTTGGTGTCAACACTGTCAGTTTCCCAGAGATATCAAACTGTTGGTGTCAACACTGTCAGTTTCCCAGAGATATCAAACTGTTGGTGTCAACACTGTCAGTTTCCCAGAGATATCAAACTGTTGGTGTCAACACTGTCAGTTTCCCAGAGATATCAAACTGTTGGTGTCAACACTGTCAGTTTCCCAGAGATATCAAACTGTTGGTGTCAACACTGTCAGTTTCCCAGAGATATCAAACTGTTGGTGTCAACACTGTCAGTTTCCCAGAGATATCAAACTGTTGGTGTCAACACTGTCAGTTTCCCAGAGATATCAAACTGTTGGTGTCAACACTGTCAGTTTAAAAGCAACAAACGAGAAAGTTGTGGTGTCAGTGGTGTACATCCCAACATCAACATATAACACAAAACTAACACTATAACAACAATACTACAATGTGGGCCTCGTAGCCTGGTGGATAGCGCGCAGGACTCGTAATTCTGTGGCACGGGTTCGATTCCCGCAAGGGCAGTAACAAATGGGCAAAGTTTCTTTCACCCTGAATGTCCCTGTTACCTAGCAGTAAACAGGTACCTGGGAGTTAGTCAGCTGTCACGGGCTGCTTCCTGGGGTGTGTGTGTGTGTGTGGTAAAAAAAAAGTAGTTAGTAAACAGTTGATTGACCGTTGAGAGGCGGGCCGAAACAGCAAAACTCAACCCCCGCAAACACAACTAGGTGAAAACTACTAAAACCATAATACAAGAGTGAGGCGGCGGGTCTAACCTATCTTGAGATGATTTCGGGGCATTAGTGTCCCCGCGGCCCGGTCCTCGACCAGACCTCCACCCCCAGGAAGCAGCCCGTGACAGCTGACTAATAACCAGGTACCTATTTTACTGCTAGGTAACAGGGGCATAGGGTGAAAGAAACTCTGCCCATTGTTTCTCGCCGGCGCCTGGGATCGAACCCGGGACCACAGGATCACAAGTCCAGCGTGCTGTCCGCTCGGCCGACCGGCTCCCCTATAGCTATATTAATATTACAGTTTTATAAAACTAATAAAACAAAACTAAAATATATCAATAAATTGTAACATAACTCAGGATAAGTTAAAATTTTGTATAAAATCTCTACTGTTTAATAAAACTGAAAAAGAAATTTCTAATATTTAAAACTTTGGTACAGCGAATTGAACTCGAAAAATTCATCCTAAAATTCTAAGTGACTTAACAGAAAACGAGGATAATAAATGGGGAGGTAAATGTAACAGCCCCATAAGGGCAATTATGTACTATGCGTGACAGTAAGGAAATGTACTTATTACACTTAGTATTAAACCGCACTATCAATTCGGAGGATGGGTTGGGCAGCTCACACACACACACACACACACAGTTACGAGGGAAGGCTGCGTGAAATGCACCTCACGACACTGGAAGACACAAGAGTAAGGGGAGACATGATCACTACCTACAAAATTCTCAGAGGAATTGACAGGGTAGATAAAGATAAACTTTTTAACACGGTTGGTACGCGAACAAGGGGACACAGGTGGAGACTGAGTACCCACATGAGCCACAGGGACGTCGGAAAGAACTTTTTCAGTGTCAGAGTAGTTAACAGATGGAATGCATTAGGAAGTGATGTGGTGGAGGCTGACTCCATACACAGTTTCAGATGTAGATATGATAGAGCCCAGTAGGCTTAGGAACCTGTACACCAGTTGATTGACAGTTGAGAGGCGGGACCAAAGAGCCAGAGCTCAACCCCCGCAAGCACAACTAGGTGAGTACACACACACAGGGGACTCGTGGCTGAGTTGGACAGCGCTCGGGAGTCGTAGTCCTAGTGGCCCGGGTTTGATTCCCGGCGGAGGGGGAGACAAATGGACAGTTTCATTCAATCTGATGCGTCTGTTCACCTAGCAGTAAATAGGTACCTGGGAGTTTGACAGCTACTACGGCCTGTTTCCTGTGTATGTGTGAGTGTGTGTGTGTGTATGTGTGTGTGTGTGTGTGTGTGTGTGTGTGTGTGTGTGTGTGTGTGTGTGTGTGTGTGTGTGTGTGTGTGTGTGTGTGTGTGTGTGTGTGTGTGTGTGTGTGTGTGTGTGTGTGTGTGTGTGTGTGTGTGTGTGTGTGTGTGTGTGTGTGTGTGTGTGTGTGTGTGTGTGTGTGTGTGTGTGTGTGTGTGTGTGTGTGTGTGTGTGTGTGTGTGTGTGTGTGTGTGTGTTAGAGAGAAATATGTCTACTACATATAACAGAGGAAAATTAGATTGGTTAGAAAAACGGGATCCAAGAGCTAAATAGCTCGATTATGCAGACACAAATAGTAAATACACACATACACTTACAGTTACACATACACATAAACACACACACACTCACACACCCATCCGTGTTTATACTTACAATCGCTCAAACACACATGTACACTCACACACTCACACAAACTGTAATGTGGCTTCGAGCATAAACAGGAACAGAACGAACACTTCACAAAAATAATGAAGGAGATAGTGAACAGTTAGAACACGTCACAAACTATACAGCTCGACGATACTTAGATAAAATGTTGATGAAATATATACAAAACAGAACAAAAGACTACAAAATGCATAGTCAAAAATATATATAATGTTAGAGGTGAGTATAAAAGAGAATACAAACGAGGTATTGCATTCCCCAATGGTTGCCACACTTTTGGAACCACCAATATAAAAGGGAATGTTACACCAATGGAACTAAAACAAAGGTTTGAGGAAAGTAAGAATTCAAATTTCTTAAAAGTGAACTAAGGCTCGAGGCTCCCACAGAGTGAGATATAGTTTAGCACGAGAGAGTTGCCGAGACAACCACCGGTGGTAGCAGTTATGGTAGTGTTGTTAAGGCCAGGTTGTTATTGTACTCTCCATAACAACACTCTCACTCATGGCACTTTTGGGAAGGAAACAAAGAGTTTGTATAAATAAATATGTTTGTATAAATAATATGTATTGCCCGAAACGCTATGCGTACTAGTGGCTTTAGGTATTGTATGTACTAGCTCTATCTATAAATCCAGGTTATCTTGAGGTTATCTTGAGATGATTTCGGGGCTTTAGTGGCCCCGCGGCCCGGTCCTCGACCAGGCCTCCACCCCCAGGAAGCAGCCCGTGACAACTGACTAACACCCAGGTACCTATTTTACTGCTAGGTAACAGGGGCATAGGGTGAAAGAAACTCTGCCCATTGTTTCTCGCCGGCGCCCGGGATCCAACCCGAGACCACAGGATCACAAGTCCAGTGTGCTGTCCGCTCGGCCGACCGGCTCTCATACTTTCCTGAATAAAATTTACTTATACGTTACTTTTACTAAAGTTGTGAGAGTGGGTAAACCAAGAGGTTGATGAACCTACGTGAGACCAACACTTGCGTGTGCATCGGAGTCAGTACTTGATCTGAAGGTCCAGGACCAGCGTACACGGGACACATCTCCCGTCACGCAGGGCGCAGTCGCACCTCCACAGATCTCCAGTATCATCTATTGACACTGGTAACGGCTCAAAAGGGCCACCACTCACGGGCTATTCATGCCCGTGCCATCTTTTGGGTGGGTTAATCTTCATCAATGATGAGTGGACCAGCGTGAGCCGCACCTCACCACGAGGGAGGAAAGAACAAGGAACATGACATCAACATAAAATATTCAAAGACACGACAGAGCGACGGAGCAAAGATAGGAACTAGACACTGTTACAGAGATTACAGAAAGATGAACTTCAGAAGAAGACTTGAAAATATACATAGATAAATTGAAGTTGCTGAGGCTAACTGTACTCATATCTTTATAACTGAATATATGACTGTCTGTTTGTATATATATATGTTTGTCTGTCCAAAGTAAGAAGCCAGACAGTTGCGGCTGATCTCAGACGCCAACCTCTAAGAAATTATTGCCAGAACGCCCCCCCCCCCTTTCCTCTGCAATTTTCATGGTCTGAAACAAGACTGTTCTATCATCAAAACTGAACGAACGCGTTTTCCGTTGAGTTTTTGATGCTTTCTCCCACCGCTGATGAGCGTCGCAGACTCGGTGTTAACTCGCTAACAATGAACGTGAATTCATTCGGTTATTATTATTATTAACATCTTTATTGATAAAATTAATTACAAATTTGCATAATCTGATGATTTCAACTAATTCTAATTAAAATGAGGATAATGCTGGTATTCACTGTCACACAGGACAGAGGGTCATACACAGGGTAACAAGTCTACACTGTAGGCTGAAGCACATATATATCATGGCTACAATCAATGTTTTAATTACACACGGAAATCACAATTGCTTGATGCATCAAATGAACAACTCCACAAGGGCCGTGATGAGGGCACTGTACAAGGAACACGGCACCTTACATGGAACATGGCACCTTACAGGGAACATGGCCCCTTACAGGGAACACGGCACCTTACAGGGAACATGGCACCTTACATGGAACATGGCACCTTACAGGGAGCATGGCACCTTACTGGGAACATGGCAAATTACAAGGAACATGGCACCTTGCAGGGAGCATGGCACCTTACAGGGAACATGGCACCTTACAGGGAACATGGCACCTTACAGGGAACACTGCCCGAAACGCTTTGCGTAATAGTGGCTTTAGGCATTGTATGTACTAGCTCTATCTATAAAGCCAACAAACTTTGTAAAATCTCTTTATGTATGTACCTTACCTAAATAAATATTATTATTATTATTATTATTACTGGGAACACGGCACCTTACTGGGAACATGGCACCTTACAGGGAACATGGCACCTTACAGGGAACATGGCACCTTACAGGGAACACGGCACCTTACAGGGAACATGTCACCTTACAAGGAACATGGCACCTTACAGGGAACATGGCACCTTACTGGGAACACGGCACCTTACTGGGAACATGGCACCTTACAGGGAACATGGCACCTTACAGGGAACACGGCACCTTACAGGGAACACGGCACCTTACAGGGAACATGTCACCTTACAAGGAACATGGCACCTTACAGGGAACATGGCACCTTACTGGGAACACGGCACCTTACTGGGAACATGGCACCTTACTGGGAACACGGCACCTTACTGGGAACATGGCACCTTACTGGGAACATGGCACCTTACTGGGAACACGGCACCTTACTGGGAACACGGCACCTTACTGGGAACACGGCACCTTACTGGGAACATGGCACCTTACAGGGAACATGGCACCTTACAGGGAACATGGCACCTTACAGGGAACATGGCACCTTACAGGGAACATGGCACCTTACTGGGAACACGGCACCTTACTGGGAACATGGCACCTTACAGGGAACATGGCACCTTACAGGGAACATGGCACCTTACTGGGAACATGGCACCTTACAGGGAACATGGCACCTTACTGGGAACATGGCACCTTACTGGGAACACGGCACCTTACAGGGAACATGGCACCTTACAGGGAACACGGCACCTTACTGGGAACATGGCACCTTACTGGGAACATGGCACCTTACTGGGAACATGGCACCTTACTGGGAACATGGCACCTTACTGGGAACACGGCACCTTACTGGGAACACGGCACCTTACTGGGAACACGGCACCTTACAGGGAACATGGCACCTTACTGGGAACATGGCACCTTACTGGGAACACGGCACCTTACTGGGAATACTGGCACCTTACTGGGAACATGGCACCTTACTGGGAACACGGCACCTTACTGGGAACATGGCACCTTACTGGGAACACGGCACCTTACTTTGACATGGGGGAACATGGCACCTTACTGGGAACATGGCACCTTACTGGGAACACGGCACCTTACAGGGAACATGGCACCTTACATGGCACCTTACTGGGAACACGGCACCTTACAGGGAACATGGCACCTTACTGGGAACATGGCACCTTACTGGGAACACGGCACCTTACAGGGAACATGGCACCTTACAGGGAACACGGCACCTTACTTACACTGGGAACACGGCACCTTACTGGGAACACACTTACAGGGAACACGGCACCTTACAGGGAACACGGCACCTTACTGGGAACATGGCACCTTACAGGGAACACGGCACCTTACTGGGAACACGGCACCTTACTGGGAACATGGCACCTTACAGGGAACACGGCACCTTACAGGGAACACGGCACCTTACTGGGAACATGGCACCTTACAGGGAACACGGCACCTTACTGGGAACATGGCACCTTACAGGGAACATGGCACCTTACAGGGAACACGGCACCTTACTGGGAACACGGCACCTTACTGGGAACACGGCACCTTACTGGGAACACGGCACCTTACAGGGAACATGGGAACACGGCACCTTACTGGGAACATGGCACCTTACTGGGAACACGGCACCTTACTGGGAACATGGCACCTTACTGGGAACACGGCACCTTACAGGGAACACACCTTACAGGCACACTTACTGGGAACACGGCACCTTACTGGGAACATGGCACCTTACTGGGAACACGGCACCTTACAGGGAACATGGGAACATGGCACCTTACTGGGAACACGGCACTTACTGGCACCTTACTTACTGGGAACATGTCACCTTACAGGCACCTTACTGGGAACACGGCACCTTACTGGGAACATGGCACCTTACTGGGAACATGGCACCTTACTGGGAACATGGCACCTTACTGGGAACAACAGGGAACATGGCACCTTACAGGGAACACGGCACCTTACTGGGAACACGGCACCTTACAGGGAACACGGCACCTTACTGGGAACACGGCACCTTACTGGGAACACGGCACCTTACTGGGAACACGGCACCTTACTGGGAACACGGCACCTTACTGGGAACATGGCACCTTACTGGCACCTTACAGGGAACACGGCACCTTACTGGGAACACGGCACCTTACTGGGAACACGGCACCTTACAGGGAACATGGCACCTTACAGGGAACACGGCACCTTACTGGGAACATGGCACCTTACAGGGAACACGGCACCTTACTGGGAACACGGCACCTTACTGGGAACACGGCACCTTACTGGGAACACGGCACCTTACAGGGAACATGGCACCTTACTGGGAACACGGCACCTTACTGGGAACATGGCACCTTACAGGGAACATGGCACCTTACTGGGAACACGGCACCTTACTGGGAACACGGCACCTTACTGGGAACACGGCACCTTACTGGGAACACGGCACCTTACTGGGAACACGGCACCTTACAGGGAACATGGCACCTTACTGGGAACACGGCACCTTACAGGGAACATGGCACCTTACTGGGAACACGGCACCTTACAGGGAACATGGCACCTTACAGGGAACATGGCACCTTACAACATGGCACCTTACTGGGGGAACATGGCACCTTACTGGGAACATGGCACCTTACTGGGAACATGGCACCTTACTGGGAACTCGGAACATGGCACCTTACAGGGAACATGGCACCTTACTGGGAACACGGCACCTTACTGGGAACACGGCACCTTACAAGGAACACGGCACCTTACTGGGAACATGGCACCTTACTGGGAACACGGCACCTTACTGGGAACACGGCACCTTACAGGGAACATGGCACCTTACTGGGAACACGGCACCTTACTGGGAACACGGCACCTTACTGGGAACATGGCACCTTACTGGGAACATGGCACCTTACTGGGAACATGGCACCTTACTGGGAACATGGGAACACAGTACAGGGAACACGGCACCTTAACATGGCACCTTACTGGGAACACGGCACCTTACAGGGAACATGGCACCTTACTAACAGGCACCTTACTGAACATGGCACCTTACAGGGAACATGGCACAGTACAGAGAACATGGCACCTTACAGGGAACATGGCACCAGTACAGGGAACATGGCACCTTACAGGGAACATGGCACACAGTACAGGGAACATGGCACCTTACAGGGAACATGGCAAATTACAGGGAACATGGCACCTTACAGGGAACATGACACAGTACAGGGAACACGGCACCTTACAGGGAACATGGCACCTTACAGGGAACATGGCACAGTACAGGGAACATGGCACCTTACAGGGAACATGGCACCTTACAGAGAACATGGCACAGTACAGGGAACAAGGCACCTTACAGGGAACATGGCACCTTACAGGGAACATGGCACCTTACAGGGAACATGGCACCTTACAGGGAACATGGCACCTTACAGGGAACATGGCACCTTACAGGGAACATGGCACCTTACAGGGAACATGGCACCTTACAGGGAACATGACACAGTACAGGGAACACGGCACCTTACAGGGAACATGGCACCTTACAGGGAACATGGCACCTTACAAGGAACACGGCATCTTACAGGGAACATGGCACCTTACAGGGAACATGACACAGTACAGAGAACATGACACAGTACAGAGAACATGACACAGTACAGAGAACATGACACAGTACAGAGAACATGACACAGTACAGAGAACGTGACACAGTACAGAGAACATGACGCAGTACAGAGAACGTGACACAGTACAGAGAACATGACGCAGTACAGAGAACATGACACAGTACAGAGAACATGACACAGTACACAGAACATGACACAGTACAGAGAACATGACACAGTACACAGAACATGACACAGTACAGAGAACATGACACAGTACAGAGAACATGACACAGTACAGAGAACATGACACAGTACAGAGAACATGACACAGTACACAGAACATGACACAGTACAGAGAACATGACACAGTACACAGAACATGACACAGTACAGAGAACATGACACAGTATAGGGAACATGACACAGTACAGGGAACATGACACAGTACAGAGAACATGACACAGTACAGAGAACATGACACAGTACAGAGAACATGACACAGTACAGGGAAAATGGCATCTTACAGGGAACATGAACATGACACAGTACAGGGAACATGACACAGTACAGGGAACATGACACAGTACAGGGAACATGACACAGTACAGAGAACATGACACAGTACAGAGAACATGACACAGTACAGAGAACATGACGCAGTATAGGGAACATGACACAGTACAGAGAACATGACACAGTACAGAGAACGTGACACAGTACAGAGAACATGACACAGTACAGAGAACATGACACAGTACAGAGAACATGACACAGTACAGGGAACATGACACAGTACAGAGAACATGACGCAGTATAGGGAACATGACACAGTTATCCTACACGAGTCCTTCTATCTGGATTCTATCCTATAGAATCCTACATGTCGATGTTTGCGGATGACGCAAAGTTGATGAGAAGAGTTGTGACAGATGAGGATTGTAGGATCCTCCAAGAGGACCTGAACAGGTGGCAGAGATCGTCAGAGAAATGGCTACGGGAGTTCAACACCGGCAAATGTAAAGTTATGGAAATTGGACTAGGAGATAGGAGACCAAAGGGACAGTACACAATGAAGGGGAACAGCCTACCTGTGACGACGCGCGAAAGAGACCTGGGGGTGGACGTAACACCTAATCTATCTCCTGAGGCACATATAAATAGGATAACGACAGCAGCGTACTCTACACTGGCAAAATTAGAACATCATTCAGAAACCTAAGTAAGGAGGCATTTAGGGGGCTTTACACTGCCTACGTGAGGCCAGTCTTAGAGTATGCCGCCTCATCATGGAGTCCCCATCTGAAGAAGCATATAATGAAACTGGAAAAGGTTCAGAAGGTTGCAACGAGACTCGTCCCAGAGCTACGAGGGATGGGGTATGAGGAGAGCCTGAAGGAACTGAACCTTACGTCACTAGAAAAAAGAAAGGAGAGGGGGGATATGATAGGAACGTATAAAATACTCAAGGGAATTGACAGAGTGGACATAGACGAAATGTTCACACGGAATAGTAACAGAACGAGGGAACATGGATGGAAGCTTGAAACTCAGATGAGTCACAGAGATGTTAGGAAGTTTTCTTTAGCGTGAGAGTAGTGGGGAAATGGAATGCACTTCAGGAACAGGTTGTGGAAGCAAATTATTCATAATTTTAAAACCAGGTATGATAGGGAAATAGAAGCGGAGTCATTGCTGTAAACAACCGATGACTCGAAAGGCGGGATCCAAGAGTCAGTGCTCGATCCTGCAGACACAAATAGGTGAGTACAGTACAGAGAACATGGCCCCATACACGAAATATCACATCGAAAACAGGAAAAGAAACATTAGAGAATGAATTTTAACTCAAGATGTTTTTAGAATTCTTGTTAAAATTAAAAAAAAAACACGTTCCGCAAAAGGAAATTATTTCCTAAATTAATTTTCTCCAGAGTAGCTTTTCAGAAAGACTGGGCCACAAAAAATAAATAATAAATGATTATAATTTTGTTATTACTGGTTTTCTAATTTTAACTAGTTTTTACATGTCGTTTATTTAAAAGAATTTATGTTTATATTCTGTATATCAGTAATTAGTTTATATATATATATATATATATATATATATATATATATATATATATATATATATATATATATATATATATATATATATATATATATATATATATATATATATATATATATATATATATATATATATATATATATATATATATATATATATATATATATATATATATATATATATATATATATATATATATATATATATATATATATATATATATATATATATTATTAAATATGACAGAAAAAGTAAGATTAATAATTCTAACACGAATTTTCTCAATATTTCTTATGTTTCTTTTCACTGTCGATGGTAATTGAAAAATCAATTCTCCAAAATTCATTTTTATTTCTAGTCTGACGCAACACTTGAACGCGTTTCGTAATAACTTATTACATTTTCAAAGACTTTAGTTTACACACACACAACTATAACCTGCAAACACTAAACAGAGTTCTACTATGTTATGATTTAAACAGCTTTCATCTTATATACCCGCATTTGGGTGAGGTGATATGTTACAACAGATGTAACTAACTAACTAACTCAGAGACAACTAACACAACACCTTTACCCCCTATTAGACTATTTTACAGGAACTTCTTTTCCACAGCCCATAAAACGGAGGAAAGGGTCCTGAAAGATGTTGATAGGAACGTTATCCCTACAGACAATAATCAGAAGATACAATTGACGATTTTCTATAAAACCAAAAAAACGGCCAACCTTCTCATGAGAAACTCTCCGGGCACAAAGCAGAACGCTTTAAAAGAGACCAACGTCGTCTATGCCTTCAAATGCCCACTTGGGGACTAAACCTCAAAGAACTCAATATATAGGCAAGACAACAACATCTCTTTCCAGGCGATTAACGATGCATAAGCAACAGGGCTCCATTAAGGAACATATAATCTCTTCCCACAACCAGACCATCACCAGAGAAATCCTAGTAAACAACACAGAAATCATCGATAGATACAGCGATAGCAGGCGGCTTGACGTTTGCGAGGCATTACACATTAAGAAGTCAACACCAGCAATCAACAGCCAATTAATGCACAACTATATTCTACCCACCTCAAGACTCCGCTCCAATATAGAAGCATCAAGGAATATGGACCAATAGGCTTTCTACAATCACTCCTATTCAATACCCATTGTTTCATGTTTTGGCTTGTGTTGATGAAATTAATACCTTATTAAATACCACCTCACCCCATCCACCTCACTCAAATGTAGATATAAACAAAATCGGAGATGTGTAAGTTCTATTCAGTTGTGTATGTGTTAACTAAAGTCTTTGAAAATGTAATAAGTTTTACGAAACGCGCTCAAGTGTCGCGTCAGACTAGAAATAAAAATGAATTTTGGAGAATTGATTTTTTAATTAGCTCCAACAGTGAAAAGAAATGTACGAAAGATTGAGAAAATTCGTGTTAGAATTATTAATCTTACTTTTTCGGTCATATTTAATAATATATATATATATATATATATATATATATATATATATATATATATATATATATATATATATATATATATATATATATATATATATATATATATATATATATATATAACACCATCTTTTATGGTTGCAAAATTAATTTATTCTAACTTTTAAATAAATGCATCTTGTCAGTCGCGTCACTTGATATATCTTTCCAGTTCCTCGTTTAGTATATATCATCAATATATTTCATTAATATATATATTTCATGTAAGTTGTATCTTCAAATGAGCTGAATTTTTCAATCGGTCAGAACTTTTCAAAGATTAAGTTAATTAGCAGTTATTACCTTCAGCAGCGCACACTATTCTTGGCTACATAGTCCACGAGGTGGTGGTGGTGGAGCAGCGGAGAAATAATAAGTGAACAGTGTTCACAGTATTGAAGTATTGCAACATATTTACTTATTGTGTTGCAGTCTTCTAAGCCCGAGGGGGATTTGCTGCTCTGCCTGGAATTAAATCACTCGGTAATGAGTTTGTGTAACTGAAAGACTCCTTGATGAAGACTAGCTTAATTTAGTTCTTAAATAGTTATGGAAAATAGGGAGACAGAGAGGGCGACAGAGAGGGGAGGGAGACAGAGAGGGAGACAGAGAGGGAGACAGAGAGGGACACAGAGAGGGAGACAGAAAGGAGACAGAGAGGGAGACAGAGAGAGAGTCAGAGAGGGAGACAGAGAGGGACACAGAGAGGGAGACAGAAAGGGAGACAGAGAGGGAGACAGAGAGAGAGTCAGAGAGGGAGACAGGGGGAGACAGAGAGGGACACAGAGAGGGACACAGAGAGGGAGACAGAGAGAGAGAGTTGTAGTTTGAGAGCTCTTTAGATTAGCAGTAAAGTTCACCTGTGTAGTTTTCCTCTTGAAACTAGACATTATGGAACACTGACGCGCGGCCTTAGTCAGGAAGAGACGCTACTCCTACTGGAGGAGGAGGAGCAGGAATAAGGTGAAAGAGCAGGAAGAAAAGAAGGAACGAGAGGAAGAGATGGTAGTAGATAAAAAAGAGAATAGGAAGACGAGAAGTACTACCAGTTTAACAGGAAGAAAAATAGAAGGTATAAATGAATAAAACAAATGAAAGGGCAGAAATCATTAACATATGATGTAAATTAAAAAAATTAAAGAGAACTGAACGAACAAAATGTAAAAGAAAAAATTAAAAGGTAAGAGGAAAGAAAAGCAAATGGTAGGAGCGGAGAGCGGAGAGCGGAGCAGTTGTGCGTCCCAAGGAGAGCATAGTGGACTACACCTTGCCTCAGTCTCCCAAGGAGGAGGAGGAGGAGGAGATGGGGAAGGAAGTGAAGGAGAGAGGAATATAAGAGGAGCAGGGGAGGAGGATAACGAGGCGGAGAGGAGCCAGTGATTGGGTGCTACCGCCTCGCGAGACACAACAACGGGGAGCCACTTATAATACGCCAGACAAGTTCTTCACATA